AAAACAGTAAATGAGTTGATTTGATTCATAAAGAAACAAACCGAAGCACAAGTCGAGTTATTGCAAAATTTAGTGACTAAATCCAGCAGTAAAGTAACTAGCCAAACAAACTACACGGCAAAACAGTATCAGATTCCAATCACGTGATAACAAAACCTAGATCAGCCTAGATCTCAGCTACTGAGATCAAGGATCTAGATCTCTCTAGATTTGTAAAGCAGACAGTTAAAGTGAAACGAGAGAGATAGATTCCAGCTATATTTATATGTACTTTTCTTGCTCGACTACAAGAGCAGAGGAAGCTGCCGATGAACGAAGACCAGAGATATGAGGGGAGTGAGGAGCAGAAGGAGACGGAGAGTAAGCCATAAAGCGACTAGCACCAACACCCCCAACCCCGCCGCCGCCGCCAGTGGTGGTCATTTTATCAGTACTCCAATCAATATCCTTATAGATATCCGTTTTGTTAGATTTTTTAAAATCAGTTAAAATTATTGATAGAGAGAGAGAGAGAGCAGCGGCCACGGCAGCGGCGGCAACCAGATTGAAGAAAATAATTTTTTTTCAATAATGTTTTTTTTTGGTGGTTGTGGTTACAGCCGCTACCAGGCTCACCTTCTCTCTGTTTCTTCTTAGTAGCGTCGGTGTAATATGTATTTATATTTGAGTGCGAGATTAAAAAAAAGAGCTACAGTTTTATTTATTTTTTAACCTTTTACTGTTTACTGCCCCTTAAAGAAACGAGAACAATCATAATTATGGACACGTGGCGCAATAGAAGAATTGAAGGAGGCCTCTTTATCTGTAAGTCCTTGAATTTTTTGTTCTGTTCAATATTAGTTGTCTTTCTTTTCACAACTTTATGATAACACCCTTCAGCTTCTTCTTCTTCTTTTGTTCACGGTGAAAGTTTTTATTTTGGGCGGGAAAAAATGCAATTTACACAGATATCTTTATGTGACTTGGGATTAATGTATGGTATGCCTAGAAATGTTTGTATTGATGATGACGTGTAATTCAAACTAATTCTAAAACACTAATTAATTTTGTGTTCTCGTCTCATTTCTAATTTATTTTATAAATTATTTTTATGAGTTAATTTTATTAATTAAGTTAGATGTTGTTGCCATAAAAGACCATTGTCAAAGAAAACCTAATAAAGTATTGCCATATATTACTAGCTCACATTTTTCAATGATAAATCGTCTAGATAAAAAAAAAAAAAACAAAGTTTAATGGTTTTATTATATTTTTTCCAATTTATAAATAACTTTAACATTAACCGAGGAAATAGGTAAATTCATGTGCTAGGGAACCATTTAGCACTTTTTAAAACTTTTACTTCTCAAAAATTAACTCTTTCAAAGAAATAACTGAATCATCATAACTGAATCATCAACACAACTGCAAGGACTAAAATAAACTTTGGAGGATGTGGCTTCCAACATAATAAATAAAATTCAACAAAAATAAAACAAGTGCAGTAAATTTCATATATGTATACCATTATATTAGTTTATTTTGTGGAGCTTATATGTGGACTAGATTATAAATTTTTGAAAACAAAAAAAAATATTCAAATTATAATGAATTATATAATATTTTTATTAAATATAATCTATCAAGATAATTTTAAAATATTCTAACTCAATTTCTTATCTTATTCTAGTTTTTAATTAAATCACTTGGAGATTACTTTAGACTTAGTAAGTTTAAAAACTTAGTAAGTTTAAAAACAACCCAGATTACTAATAAAAAAAAATATTTTTTAAAAAATATTTAACTTGCCAAACACACGAGTTGGATCATGAACTCCTCTAATTATGTTTAATAACTTCTTGTTTAAAACTATGTTTTTTACTTGACATGATCCAATTAACTTGACAAATCCAAAAATTACTTGGATGATCGGTAAGAACGTGATTTAGCTTTAATTTTTTTAAAACAATGTTAGATGCCCAAAATATTTAAGTAAAATGAGGCCACGTAAGCTAAGGAATTACTTAAAGGCATTTTCAGTTATGCATATTTTCAATTTAGCTGTTACGTAATTTATTTTTTAAAGTAATGGGTTAGTTATTTTCTATTAAATGCTAATTAAGAGAGTCAGTTATTTACTATTTATTGCAAGTATGTAAAATGTCTATAAAAGGCTAGAGTATTAGAAATAAAAGATATCCTTTGAATTTTAATTGTGTCGTGTGCATCTATGGAGGTTTTTTCTAGCTCCTCAAATTGCTAGAATTTATTTATAATTTTTGGGGCATAATAGACAATCTCTTTTTTTTAAAAAAAAAATATTGAGACAAAAACAAATTAAATTGATTAGAACTTTATAGCTTAACTTGTTAAACCTGCAATCCAAGTTATAGACTTTAATGAGTTTAATAACTATATTGTTTTAAACTATTTTTATTTAATCACATGATAATAAATACCCCCACATAGAATATATATATATATATATATATATATATATTTTTAACAATTTGTGTTAAAAAAAACTAGTTTAGGGTGAATTTTATTAATAATAATATTTTATCTAATTTTATTATATGTTAAAAAATTATAAAAACTGTACTTTTTGTCGGATATATATAATAACAATAGTTAAATCCATAATATTTAAATTAAAAATCATCAATATTAATATATATATTTTTAAATTATTTTATAATCTCAATTTCAAAAGTATTCTTAACCAAACACATTAAATTATTTTTTCTTCAATCTTAATTTCAATCACAGTTTTAACCAAATATCTATTTTTTCAAACTGACCTTAACTAAAAATATTTTTTATAAATTATTTTTTAAATTATAATTACAACAACTACCGGAGTAATAAACACACCCTAAATAGACGAGAAATCCTCAATCCGCGTTGCAAGATCATTTCCTGTATCAGCGATGAAAGGTTAGCTTGTAAAATTAAAACCATTTTGTATCATTCACGGGAGAAGATATTTTATAAATTCAAACCATTAATGCCTATATGGGAAAAATTAGGAATTTTGATTTATTCCGCCATTTATATGTATCCCAACAGTATTTGCAACAATCAAGCACTTTCTTCGGCCCTACAAATTCCAATCATGCTCAAAATGTTAGTTGAGAACATCACACATTCTAGCCGAGCATTTTATTGGTTTAAAAGATGTTTGGAAGTGTAATAATAATTATTTTTAAATTATTATTTAATTAAAAATTATTTTTGATATTAATATATCAAAATAATTTAAAATGATAAAAAAATTAAAGTGCAAAACAAAATTTAAAATTTCGTAGAATATAATGTGAACAACGTTTTCAAACAATGCCTTAAAGCTTGTTTGTTTTTATATTTTAAAAGTGTTTTTGAAAAAATTTAATTTTTATTTTATTTTTTATTAACTTTAAATTAATATGTTTTTAGTGTTTTTAAATTATTTTAATATACTAATATTAAAAATATTTTTTAAAACATAAAAATATCATTAATATATATTTTAATATAAAAAATTATTTAAAAAATAATCATAATTATACTTTTAAACAAGCCTTTACTTGATAAGTAGTTGTTGATTTTTCATATCATAAGAGGAGAAGGAGGGGAGGGAGAGAGATCTGTTTTTGTTTTTTATAGGAAAATTTGTGAAAGAGGTTGACATCAACATTGATATTGTGGTAGGCATTGATAGTGTTTATAGTTATTTTCCACGCTTTAATATATATGGGGACATCAGTAAAGTTTTTGTAGATTTTCAAAATCTACTTTAATTAAAGTTGGAAGGTGTAATATTAAAAAATTCGGTTGCAAATTGAGAAAATAACTAAACCATAAGATGCTAAAAATAATTTATTCAAAATAAAAAAATGCTTCATGTGAACAAATATGAAAAGTGTGAGCATGAGATTTAAATTAACCTCATATGTTTGTGATGTTGATAATTCTATAAAATCTCTCTAAAAAACAACATTCCATATAAGTAATTAATTCAAAATTTTATCTCAAAAATCCTCATAGATACATGTAATTAATTCAAAATTTTATCTCAAAAATTTTATTTTAAATCCTCATAGATACACGTACAAAGACGTACCATGACAATCTTGAATTGGCATAAATTGCTTAAGAGTTAGTTAGATAATTGTTAATGTTAGTTATTCTAATTTTTTTACTACAAAACAAAGACCCTTTCAATTTTAAGAGATGAAAGAAAAGGATTAGATCAAAAAATATTTAAACTTTAGACACTTCACTGTAATTTACCCAAATATAAAGTGAAAAGGCCCGAAAACATTGCAATTTAAACCAAATATTTTGAAAATTATAGCCGAAGATAGAATTATCGGTTTCAATCATAACTCCACTTTTCATCACACTATCATACCATCAAACAGGTCCTTTATCTTCTACCTAAACAAGGATGCCCCGATTCATCTCCAATAATGGATGCCCCCACCTGCATAAGGTAGGCTCCCAAGAAATGTTGTCCTAGCTGATGGGTCAGGTCCACATATTGAATTTTGTCATTGAAAAGGCATCTCTTGAGGAGAGAAAGTAATCTACTACGTAAGCAACTGAGACTCTTCTCTCCTAATTGAAGTGAGATGGTGACATTATCATAATCTCCTAAGTTTGAATAAGACAGCATGCCTGGTGTCTCCACATACGATATTAATAATTAATAATGTATGCCCGCATCTAAGGTTATACCTATGTATTGTAGGCTTTTGTCTTGGCTAACAGCCCAAAGCCATATACTGAACTTTGTCCTTGTAAAGGATCCTCTTGAGAAAGAGATCAAAGATTTTTTTTTTGATTTACGTGGGGTGTCCGGGTCAGTTTATGCGCACCACGACTAATCCCCATGACCCATTGAATATTCTGCAAGCCCAGTAAACGCACCGCGGGATGACAGTCATGCATGGTGAGGTTCGAATCCAGATACGAAGAAAGGAGACAACCCCCTCCCACCGCTAGGCCAGAACCTCACTTGCTCACTTGCAAGAAGAGATGAAAGATTCTTGATTCAGCCGATGTGAGCTAATGGCATCTTTGGTGTCTGCTCAAAGTTGACATTGCAGAAAATTGATGCTGCCACGTAATTGAAGTTCCTTGAACGCCGGAACCAAGATGATTGAAGTTGCACTTGGCAGAAGGGAAGCGGCGTTGGCATCATTGATCTGGTATCCTTCTCATCCGCACTGGAATTCAGGGAGGAACGATATGACCGATTTCCTTTTTAGCCCGTAAAATTATGACTCCTACTAACAAATGATCGGACTGAAATGCTTCATCCCCGTGATGAGATTAGGCAATGCCATTATCAAGCCTCTCAAATTCTAGCACTGCAAGTACTTGTATGAATGGTGCACAAGAGATCTGACAAGATACAACAGAAAGACATGTTTGGCAACAAAGAACTTTCATTCAATTACCAAGTTTTTGCCTGATTTTTCTGTTACCTTCAAGTAATTGATCAGAGAACTGAGCCAGCAAATTCTTTGTTGTTGTAGATTAAACAAGATCATTACAAACTGCAGGAGCAAAGCTTTCTGTCAAACCTCAACAGCTTATAAGAGAGCACCAGGGGGCAAATTATCTGATGGATTGAGTACCTTCTTGCTTAGACGCTGACTTGGAGAAATCCACAAGCTAGCAGGCTTCCCTGATCAGAATCCGCAAAGGATGAATTTGGAAGCAGGAAACACCAAACATGACAAAGAAACAAGACAAATTGTAATCAAATACTGCGAACACCAAGTAAATGGCTTCCATTTGATCTCAACGCTTGAGCTCTTCATTCTCTTTCCACTCATTGGTTCCTTAGACAAATCAAAACTAGCCCCTTTCATTCTCAACTCTTGAATACACTTAGCAAGAGCTCTGTCATTATTCTTCTCTCTTTGCAACTGCCTGGACACCTTCCAGTAACTGCAAATCTTAACCTGAACCAAAGACACAAACTCAAGCGAAGTGCAGACAGACACAAGAGAAGGTATCCTCCAATTCTTGCAAGTATGCTCTTTACTATCAACAGAAGAGGTAAACAAAATGGTTAAGAAAATCCATTGAATGACTAAAAAGAAACAACAAAGGTGAAAGATTTCGCGCTTGATAGAGACCATTCTCGACTCTTTCAAAGCAATTCTGCGGCCGAAAAGATTCTCTTCTCTTTGCCATAGCTTGAGAAGCAAAAGATGACCTGGACAATTAGAAATTTCTGCTAACGGGTAGTTTTGAATTGCTGATATAGTGTTTATGGCACATATCAGTTTCTGCTGGTGCTCTTCATCTACTGGGATTTCTACGATATGGGCGTCTTTCATTCCAGCCATTGTTGAACACAAATGAGATAAAATTGAATTATAGAAAAATCCATTAACACAAGAAAGGAAACAAATTAACGAACCAGAAGATTTTGAAAAAAAGAAAAAAGAAAGAAAACCAGAATGGGAAACCGCTGTCAAACAAGGAAATGAGAGGGATGGAAGAGCTGAAGAGAGATTAGATTATAGAAAGCAGAG